CCCCCCGCCCCCCCTCGTGCCCCCCCCGACGGCAGGACCCCCCCCCGCTCACCTTGTGGGGGAGCTGCCGGCCACGCCGCGGGGCTGCCCACTGCAGCCGGGGTCGCCAGGCGCTGCGCTGGCGCCGGAGCCGCCCCTTCCGCCCGTGCGGGAGCCCGTTGTACTGCTCCAGGCAGTCGCCGGGGGCCTCAGCCCGCACCTCGCCCTGTGTGGGGGCACCGGTTACCAAGTCACAGACCCCCCCACCCCAGCTGCGGGACCGGCACGAACCCGCGGAAGTCACCTGGGGTCCAAGCCCTGCCTGAGGCAGGATCAGGCCCATCCAAACCCGCCCAGACAAACCTCAGGTTCGACCTCAGAGCCACGCGACACAGTCACTCCAACACAGCCCAGGCATCACCCCCACCCCTGACCCGGGACACAGGGGGCCTGCGGCCAACATCCTGCTGCTGCCGGGGGGGGCATGGACACTTCAGGGAGCCCAGGCCCAGGCCGTGCCCCCGCCGCAGAGGAAGGCAAAAGCCCCCGTGCAACCGGTCTGAGCAGGGGGGAAATCCCTTCCTGCCCCAGTGCAGCGCAGGGGCAAGACCCTCCACCAGGACCCTGCGGGGCTGGTCCCAGCAGGAGCATCGGCGCAGCCCGGCCCCAGCCCCAGCCTGGGCTGCAGCACCCAGCGCCCCGGGGGGATGAAACCCCAGACACAGGGAGCAGGTGGGGGGGAAGCAGCACAGCCGGGAGCCTGGGAGATCCCACAGGAGAACACGGCTTATGATGCTGGGATCCTATGATCCCTGCTGACTTCCTGCCCCTGGGCGGGGGGCTGGACTCCATGATCCTCCGGGGTCCCTTCCAGCCCGAATGTCTGTGAATCTGAATCGATGACACCGCTGCGCCCATGCTCGCCAGGCAGCAAGTCTGGCTGACATGGGCTGGCGCCAAACACCCGCCATGGCCCATACGTGTCCCCAGGGCTTTGCCCACAGCCACAGGGGCACCCAGAGCTGACTGCACCCGGTGCGTGGGTGTGACCTCCCCTCCCCTGTCACACACTCACCGGGAGCTGGGGGTGGGCGGGCGCGTGGCCCGTGGCCTGCTCGGCCTCGTAGGTGTAGTGGTCCAGGGGGGCGCAGAAGGCGCCGGGTTGCACTGTGTCGCACAGGCGCCCCATCAGCCGGGGGCGGCAGGGGCACATCCCATCCTCTGCAGAGCACCTGGGGGCACGGCAGCTCTGTCCAGCTGTCCACGCGCCACTCAGGGAGGCAGACCCGCAGTGCAGGGCGGCTGTGCCCGGGGGCCAGGTGCAGGGTCCCGCTGCCCCCAGGGAACCCTACCTGTTGCTGTAGGCACCCCCGAAGTCGCAGGCACAAGGCCGGCAGCCGGGAACGGCGTAGCTCAGGCCCCCGCACTCAGGCTGCGGAGAGCGCTGGGCGGAA